TATCGACTTCTTTCAAAGCTCTAGATTATACTCCTTTTATCTTTCTTAACACTTCAGTTTCAATTTGCTTTTGAATACATTGCAATCTAGAACTAAATTATCACAGACCCATTGACTCATCTCCAACTCAACTTTTCTATGCTATAATTGGGGACTGAATTTTATTAGATAAAACAAAGTTTAATTCATTTATTTATTTAATTTAAATATATTTACCTATTTAAAAAAATACTTTTGAATTGGCTCTTTGAGTTTTTTTCCCTATACAATTTATAAAAGAAAAAAGTGTTGAAAGTGTTACAGGCATTGTATAAACCATTTTTAGTATCATTTTAGCATTATTTCACTATGATACTAAATATAGAACAAGGTGGATATATAAACAGATATTTTAATTACGTTAATATAAGAAAAATATATTCAAAATAGCTTTCAGTGGATAGTACATTTTAAGTGAATGGTAATTTTTAAGATGATTTTTAGGGTAATTTTCTAAGATGAGGATATGTCAAATGTAATGAGAAAAAACAATAAATATGATACTAAAAGGGCTATTCACACACAAACATAATGAAATCTACATAGTCTATGAAAGAGATGTAATAGAACACCTTTCTGTTTAGCGATGATCTAATTAACTGAAGCCAGTTTAATATTTCTACAAACTTACAAATTAAAATGGTAAAATGCATACAATTGAACTAGATTATAATTTATCATTTAAAAATATCCACCTGAATAACTGCTACCAGCTATTAACTTTCCCCCTATTAGAAATCTTTGATCTCTTTCCACATTTGCATGCACATGTATACACAGGCTAGATGGGAAATGCAAATAGATCGGTAGACATGATAGCTTTCTTAAATGATATTTTGCAACCTATATGGAGACCTCCTCATGTGTATTCTCTTTGCAATTTAAATCACATATAGATAGAAAATATATTTTAATTGAATTTAAAATATATCATTTAAAATCTTCAAGGTGTCAATATTTTAGAAATTAATTGAATACCTTTGGCTAACTTTTGTCAATGAAAACAGTCCAGCCCCCCTCAATCCCTACAGGAAGTAAATATATTTCTGTTAATACAGTGTTCATTTAATCATTATTTCTTTAAGTAAATAAAACAACCTTAACTCTCATCTCAGTTGCTGTATTTCATTAATTCACAAGCCGCCTCGCGAATAATGGTTTGTTGTTGATTTTTTAAAAATATTACTATCAGCCACAGAAGACAAAGTAAACCCTCAGGGACTATGACATATTTTTCCGTTTTCACATTTTTTCACAACGTAGAAGGGCTACTGCCAAGCTAGCTTTTGGGACTTCATTTTCAGCAATAATTTTCTAGAGTGACCAACACTATGGGGAAATCTGTGCTAACTGTTTAAAAAAAAAAAAAAAAAGAAGCCTACAACTGAGTTATTTGCAGTACTGTCATGCTAACATTCAACTCAATAAGACCCAGGAAACCTCAGGAGAGGACTCCGCTAATAGCTTCTCACTGACCTCCCTGCATCGGGCCCGGCTGCTGACTGGTGGCCCAATGGTGAATACAGCAAATGAGGTGTGAAAGCACTGATTTTTTTTAAAGGCTATGATTCTGACTCGTCAAAAGGGAAAAAAAAAAAAAGGCAATGAGTTATATAATAGATATATATTTTTCTTGAATTCCCCCCTTCAGACCTTCCATCATGGGAACTTAAGCATGACCTAGAATATTAATTATGTCAGGCTGAACAACGAGCAAATGTACCATTTGTTACCCAGTCACCCTTAGCATTACATTAATATTTTGAACCATTCCATATTTCTAACAATCTATCAGTTGGCTCTTTTCTTCTTAGTTTCTATTCTTATACTGAAGCAGTGTACGAGAAAGTCCTTTAAAAAGGCAACTGATCTGAAAACAAATGGATATACTCGTTATGTTTGGAGCAGTCACTGCTTTATTTCATGAAGAATGTTTTTACGGTCATTTTCTACTCACACACTGACCTTTATTTTGTAATTGCCTGGGGGAAGCCATAGTCTAATTTTTTTTCCCTTTTCTCTTTGTTATTGAGGTTTACTTTAAACACAAGTTTCTGGCAAATAAAAGGAATCTGAAACAGGACCGTGCACGCCTGTAATTCCCATAGCACCATTACCGGTGCTTCAATTTCAGATTTTATCAGATGAGAAACAGTAATTCCTCATGATTTCAAAGTAACTGCTTATTCCAGGAATGAAAAACTATTAAGGAGATAGGGTGGGAGGGAAAATTCAAATTTTACTTTTGCAAATACAATTACACAGCAAATGGGAGTCACTGATGGCCACAAAAAGAAACAAAATTGAAATAGAATTTTTTTGCCCTGTGAGTCAGAATACTGTGAGAGAGAAGCAGTTCTCAAAGGGCAGCTGGCTAAAATATGTCTGGTTGGTTCTAAGTTTTAATAAAACATGCTTAAAAAAAATCAGACATTAGGCAAGCACAGAAGATAGTAAAGACCCTGAATAACAAGAAAAGTGAAAGTAGGCCAAAGAACTGTGAATGAAATATTTGCTGGGGTAGGGACTGCTGAATCAACACTGACCAGTGCACTTCATCATAATTATCAGGACATACTGGTGCCAGGGGATTTATAACAACCCCACTCAGCAAATAATTGCCCTGCTGTTAGGAGATAGTCAGTGTTAACACACTGTCACAGTCCAGCGTTTAGTAAGATATTCTACATTCGATTACTCTTGCTGAGAACCGAAAGGAAACAGGGCCATTCCTCAGATACAGATCATAGTCATCTTAACCTGCGGATATAGCACTCCAGGAGGAAAAACAATTCCATGGAAACATTAAGGATTCATAGAGAATATATTTATCTATCTAAAGTGAGATTTAAAAAAACTAGTATTGACTAACAAATGTTTTTTCTCTTCTTTCGCTTCGCTAAAAAATAAATTTTTAAAGTGTCTTCAGTCAGATTATAGAGGGGTCACGTTAAGTGTAGACCCCAGATGCAGCCAGCTTTATTAGTTTCACAAATGATTTTTGTAAATCATTTTGATATCCTA